TTGTAAAACATTACATTTCTTTCTAAGAATAAAAAAGTGTAGTGTATAATGATGTTATCAAATAAAACTTGTTTTGTTTAGTTTATTGTTGTTTCTTGTGAAGATTTTACTAAATATTGATTAAATGTTATCATTAAATACATGTTAAAAAATACACGTTATATGACTTCATCTTCGTTTGTACCTTACAGACATTAATCTAAGGATAGATTGCAGACGTTTATACATTTATGGCATACGCAAACTCATAAACTGATCAAATAACATTTTTATTTCATCTTCAATTTAACCAACAACGGATTCACCCATGAAAATCGAAGTTCGTATAAAGATCTGCAGTCCGATTAACTTAAGGGGAACTACCAGTACGAACAACTGTACTAAACTCTCGAGTTTCATCGTTTATCCTAGAATACTTGTATGCCATGTCACGGAGCTACCTCATATACTCCACGCGCTGTCCTTTGAGGGCCTCCAGCAGATTGTACCGGTCGATGGCGTTCACAATGGCGTTCGACAAGTGAAGAAAATCGTCCTGGATTTCCCGCGAGTGCAGCAGCGTCTCGATTAAGGGGAACTTTGGTAAAAATAAAACGCTCATCATGAAGAGAACCGCCATGGTGACGAAGGTGCTTATGGCTACGAACAGAGGGTTCGACGTGAACAGCGACGGAGTGCTGGGCAATGCGGCCGGCGCGTGCGGGAACGCGGAGATAGGCTGCAAAACGATTAACATTTATCATTCCTCGTTCTTTTCTCATCGACGAGTTCACGTTACTCCCAGAATTTCGCTATCGACGCTAGCGCAACTCACGATTGTCTTGTAGCCATGGTCCTTCTTGAACTCCGACATGAAGCTCTTCAACGGGAAGAAATAATACTGGTAGCTGGGAGACTTAACCGGGAATTCCACGTGAGTCTGCGTCACCTGAGGAATCTCGCCGGACGCCAAAGCGTTCGTCAAGCTCGAGAAGCTGACCGACGATCCCCTTTGCAACGCGTCTTTGTACATCGACGCCAGTTCCGCCCGCGTGAACCCCAGCACTTCCGGGTCCTGCGCTTTAATGGCGAACTCGTGAGGCTGGAACAGAATGGGAAACGCGTTACTGAAAAGTAACAATGTGATATTCATGATTTTTTAAACAGGTAAACTGTTATTCTATGAATCATTAGAGGAAATAGTGAATCACTCTTCAACGAACGATACGCGTGGCGGATGATAACCTACGTAATCCGAGATATTCTATCGCGGCGTGAATGTTTAGATTGTTTCCCTCTTTCCGAACGATTAGATTACACTGGGAAAGAACATCGCGTAATTAGAATTTCCACTCGCCTGATGATAACCGGGGAAACTTCCATCGTACCGATGCACGTCCGGACTTCCGCCGATCAGGATGTTGTAGCTTTGATTTTTATACTTCTGCCGGGGGTTCATGTTGATCCTCTGCACCGGGTGATCCTGTTTCCCACTGTGAGCCGCGTTCTCGTAGCCGTTGCTCCAGAGCTGATTGTAAACGTTCACCGGGGGAGGAACGTTGAACTCCTGCAGCTCCATCATCGCTTTGTGCAGGTACTCGCCGCTCGACTCGCCAGTTCCTTGCATTCTCGCGCGAGCGAGTTTCAGCATCACCAAAGCGAGACAAATCAGATTCATTCTCCTACCGATATCCATCTTGAATCCATTAATGTCTCCCGCGCGTTCGCTATTTATGGAACGAATTTCGAAAACCGGCGGTCCCCTGGAAATTTTTCAATAATTAGGTACAACGAACGATGACACGGTTCCTCACAATGCGGGGCAGTCTGTCTTTTGGACGTTCCTCTGTGTCATGATGAAAAACGGGACACTGTCACTGGTGTGTTTGTTTTGTAAGGATCTGATGATATCGGCGATAGTTGCCACTATGTCAATCTGCGTATTCAGACGCGGAATTATGCCAATGTCGCTGTTGTAATGTTTACTCGAAGATGTTTAATCGCGCGGAGATAGACACGCGAAGGAATTGTTACGTGTTTGTTTAAGAAACGTTTTTATGTCACGTGTGTACGCGCGGAACGCTCGCGGCGAGCATATTCGCGATTATACTAGCGGGGATGAACTGCAAGGAGTTCCTCAGTCACTATGTTCCCCACCAAGTCATCGAGGAATTCTGCTCGTATGTGGAAGACCATCATCCACTGAGGAACTCGCCATATGTTCCACAAAACGCCCGGACATGTTCTTTTTTCCGAGCGGCTGGTCATCGTCGAGACTTCGTTAAATGGACGTTTTACAAGAGGAAACGTGGGCAGGCAGTGCATCGCGCTACTGCGAATATCACGATACCATAAAGCTACGAATAAAATGAAAACTGCATAATTCCGCACAACCGTCACCGTTATCGCGTTAAACCCGACGAAAACGCGTTCAAAGAGAAACTGGAGAGTCATTCGATGATCAGGGAGAATACGAATGACGAGTAAATTCGTCTGTTGATAGATTAATGACAGAACTTCATTGCCAATCGAACTGACACGTTTTAATCTTCCTGTTTTCCAATTACTGGAATTGTAAACGCGCTAAATGCCGGAAATCAGTTAAGAACCTAATGGTGTCGCTTGCGCGTAAGAAATATTAATGGAAACTCGAGGAAGATGTATTTTTATCATTTTCGTATGAAGTATACGTCGAATCGTGTTAGATGCTAGATAGTTCTGGTGTCTAGGAGAACGGTTAAACACGTTTCGTCGACGAACTCCTTCTCGGAACGAAAACGGACCGACGAGAATACGAAATAAGGACCGGCCATCTTCCTAGCCCGGCGTTGATGTCCCCGATGTATTACGTGCATACACGAAAACCTGATTGTCCGGTGGCCGACGAATCTAGACGCGGTTTCGGGCACATCCGTTATATTCTTCAATCGAGAATCAAGCAACATTTTGCCATGCAACCCCGGTGAAACAAGCTGATCCATAACGGAACCAAATAGGCCTCAAATTCTCCGTTATCCTTACGAGAGCCACGCTCCTCTGACTCGCATGAACATTGCAACTGTACAGTTCCAGGAAAGAAGGAAAGCTTCTCGCGGTTTATTTGCCAATTTTCCAATTCCCCGAAGCTTCGTCTTGTTCGGTGACAATTCGAGAATGGAACGTGTTCGTGAAACGAAGATCTAACAGACGCGGCAGACGAGACAAGCCTGAATGCGTATCAATGGCGCCCGTGCATTCTCCGGTCGACGAAATCACCAAACCGCATCATCCGTACCGAACAACGTCGGAACGAAACCTTCAGGTACAGTTTCCGTTCCGCGTCAATTATTACCGCGAAATTCTGCTCGATTGTTATCGGCCAGTTTTATTATAATGTCGCGGACCATCATTACGTGATCCGCAGGAATAATGGAAACGGTACAATGAACCAGCTAGGATCTGAGAGTAAGGGATTAAAATATGCGTTTGCTTCGTGGCCCCGTCGTAAATGAATATTTCATTACGGTTTTTGAGTTTTTGAAGATTCGGAGCTTTGGAACTTGGTTATATGAAGTTTTGAAGATTTGGAACTTGATTGTTTGGAACTTTGAAGCTTTGGAACTTGATTATTTGAAGGTTTGAAGTTTTGGAACTTGATTGTTTGAAACTTTGAAGCTTTTGAACTTGATTGTTTGATACTTTGAAGCTTTGGAACATGATTATTTTAAGGTTTGAAGCTTTGGAACTTGATTACTTAGAACTTTGAAGCTTTGGAACTTAAAAACGTTGACAATTTAAAACTTCGGAACTTAAAAACTTCAAAGCTTTGAAAATTTGAAAATTCTAAAATTCAAAAATTCTAAAATTGAGATTTTAATACTATCCAGTGAATCTAAGCTAAAAGTAATATCCAGAGTACAAGTAATGTGCACCAAGTATACAGAAAAATAGAACGATAGGTTCACCAAGGAAAGAACGGCGTAAAATGGATTCCCGAACGATAGATTGACTCGGTCGTTGATTTGGTTTAATCAAAGCCTGCGCCAGAAACCTGGTTCCCTTTGTTCCGACAGGCGCCTCGGTTTCTTTCGTTCCGGTTGCTCGTCGTTAAAAGGAAACTTGCGCGACGGACCAGACGCGATGCGTTACATTCTCACGAGACTTCGGCGTTACATGTAACTGTACTAAAAATACGTTGCACCGAGTAATTGGGCAACAGAAATTACACGCTCCCGCGTGGAATTCCGCGATATTAAATGTACGGTATTCCTTTCGCTCCTGATTGTTCAATTCATTCGCCACCCGGCGAGTGTCTGCTAATTATCCCGAGCGCAATTCCGGGGAGTTGTTTCGTCGAATTATTTAAATTACCGTAGAATGATATCCGTGCATTTTTCTTGTCCGCGAACAGTTCAAGCAATTAGTACACGGTAATCATCGAATTACGACATTAACGTGCAACGATATCCGTGCTTCTCTTGTCTCCGAGCTGTTCGAGTAATTATTACACGGTAATTGTACAAGTTACACGGTAACCACAGTCTATACAGAAGAAGATTGAATGATCCTCAAATTAAGATATCAATTACACTTGTATGAAAACTCGAGTCTACCTGTCTGAACGCCGGTCGTTAGGAGACTCTGGAAAATAAATAAAACGAACGGCTCGAACGTGCGTCGGACAAGGTGCAATTAGAATCGAATCGAAGAAACGTGCAGCGGTCCCATCAGACGAGACAACGTTCCAAAGAATGTGTCCCCTGTTATTATTGAAAATTTCCAATTTTTATTCCCAGGCTGATACTGTAATTTCCCGTCGTAAAAATTGTTCAAGATGAACGTACGGTTGCGCGGTTCGTTGAGTGGTCCCGGGGGAAGCCGTTAGACGACAACCCGCGATTTTCTTTAATTATACCCGTCCACCTGACATTGTCCCGTCGTTAATAATGCGTCCAGAGGATAATATTATTTTCGTTAACATTTCTTTTTTACCAACGAACGAGGCTAATATAATAACCTCGCGGTTTTCCGAGTTGATCGGTGGTCGTTATTCCCTTCGGGGGAAATAACAATATCGACAACATTCGAGTCACTAGTGTTTTATGCGCGCTTAACGGTACAGCGAACCGCGCAGACGAAAATGAACAGTTCCGCCGAACTGAAAATGATAATCAGGAATTCCCCTCGCCCGATCGGGCACGGCATCACTCGAAAAGGGTATCATTACTCGTTGGACACCAATACGTCGGCTTCGAACTGTTTCGTTTCGAAATGGAGCATAATTGTGATTGTACTGGGAATATAAAATATCAGGAACGAAGAATTCAGAGAAGAATCTTGTTATTAGGGCGGAATGATTAGTTACGATGGAGGATAGATCGTCCGAGCAATGAATTACCTCTACTACATGATCCAAACTTCGATTTCTGGATTAAAATTACAAAATTTCTTAATTATCTTAAATCAAGACACAGAATGGCTCTTTAGAGTTACGCAAAATGGGAGAAACGAATCGATTTCGAGAAGCTCGTCGAAAGTTCTCAGTCGAGACGGTTCTAATAAAGCAGAAATGAAAAGGTCATTCTTCGCAAAGATTGCAGTATCTTTCTTGTCTTTCATAAACGTAACAAAACTCGGTTCGTTTGTTACGTTACCAAGAGACTGATGCTCGAGTTTACATGAAAAATGGCGTCCTAGATGTTTGAGTGACGTGAAGCAAAACTGTGAACGATATTTGAAAACGAACTGAGATCGGTATTGAAACGGCGTACCGTAAGCTTCGCCTCCAGCAGGGATGGAAAGGCGGGGACGAGGAGGCGGAGGAAGTGGAAAACTCAAATTGCGTGTATGGCTCATTATTGTGTCGTGTATTTCCTTTCACATCGAAGTGCACCGTTACCGATATCGCTTTACAATTTGTCAACTTCCTCTCTCGACTCTTTCTCATTTCTGTTTCGTTTTCGCGTGTCTCTCTCTCTCTCTCTTGTCGTCGTCTTCGTCGTCGTCGTCGTCATTTTTTTTCGTCGTTTTCCAATTTCATACAAAAAGGATGATTCGATGATCAGCGCCGCTACATATCATTCCGTTGAACCGTTCGTCGATCGCGCTGGTCAGACCGGCGAACGGCAACATTTTCCTTTCATTCTGTTACACGTACATTTCATAGATACAATATATATAATATATTTCTTTATCTTTAGCGCAATCCTCCTCCGCGAAGTGAATATCATACAAAATCTAAGGCTACACGTAATTAACCTTAATTCCTCCGTTACACGTTCGAACGGAAACAAAACGGGAAAAGAAGTTACGACAATGAACGGACTGCAGATATACCCGTGCGTTTGTAATGTTTCTATCGCGCCAATGAAGTCCTCGATAAGAAAGGTAACATTCTCTTTCCAAGTCCTCGTCGTTGTTTACAAAATACCTTCGAAACGTGCCGTTGGAGTCTCGTCGATCGTTGCGATCTCAACGGACGACGCTCTTGAATTTCAATTTTCTTTAGAACGGAAATCGTTAGAATTTCGAGTTAAAATGAAGTTCGTTCCTTTTCGATTCGAATTCTGGACAGATGAGAGCCGAAGTAACGATCGAACGTTTCCGGAAAGGTTCCCTCGAAGCTCCGTTTCGAGCGCACGCAATCCGCAGCCCGGAAACGCGGAGGCATTCCGAAAATCTCACGTCGGTCCTTAAACGTAGCGGTAAATTTCTAATTTACAAAAACTCGCGAGACAACGAGTGGTTCCTCGGAGACGGCGGTGGTAGGCCCTGGTTTCACAATGTTTCTATTTGTTCGTCTCGCCCTTTCCCCTCCCTCCATTTTTTTTCCCTGCATTTTCTTCCTGTTTTCCTCGAAAGGTACAAAAAACGTGGAAAATCGCGCGCGGCCCCGCGGGAACGACGATCGCCGTGAAATCGATTTGAACTTCGTCGCGTGCCGCTGCTTCTTCCGCTTCCGGTCGCTCAGCACCGTTCGACCTCTGTCGCGAGGTTCGAAGTTTGAAGCCGTTGAACCACTATCCGTAAACTTTGCGGTCGCGCCTCGTGAACACGTTCCGTGCGGAGAATTTCGAATTTTTGTTAACGACAGAAAGTTTCGTTGAGAAATTTTGAATAATAAAACGAAACAATTGTTACTCGATGGTGATTACATTGAATTTTAATAGAAAACTGATTTTGAAGAAATGGAAACGACCGAGTGAAACTGCGTTTCAATCTGTATTGTTATTTAAGGAATTTTTATTTTTATTGACATTGCAACGCGTTAATTTTATCTTCACGAAGATTGCACCTCTTTGATCGAAGCCACAGAATCGTAAATTTGCATGGAAATTAATGAATTTCAAGCGACGAAGGCTAATGAGGCACGAAACGCGATTCAAGATGGCGCGTGGTTCCGATATTCAACAGACGGGTTGATCTCTACACCGTTAATTAATACCGTAGCCAGGAGAATCTTTGTGCGACGATTAAGAATAGAAAGGGACTCCTTCTACCGAAATTTCCGTGAAAAAATAGGCCGAGATGCGTTCCTCTCAGTCGTGTTTCTAGAATTTCGCCTTCGAGACCGTGAATCGGTACCGCGCGGGAGACTCGGCTCGCAACCGGAAGTGGAGAACGGTTCCTTACATCGAGAATACTAGATCGTTTAATTAATCGGTATTGATCATCGATAAAAGTGGATTCAGTCGTCGCGGTGAGCTACAATTAAACAACAAAGCATCGGTGGGCCTTGGCGGCTCGGAGGAAACGCGAAGCTGCGTCCTCGCTGAAGCAACGGATAAATGTTCGATCGACATTAGAACTACCGAGGAATTAGAATAATTTCTATATAGTACTTCAGATGCCACTATCACCATTTCATTTGACAGCAAAATCATAAGAAATCAAGTTCAATATTAAATTCTTCCTGGATAACACATTGATCACCGAAATAAAAGTTTCTTAACCCTTTGCACTCGAGAGGTGTCATTCGATTTGACACTGCAAAATTATGAAGTGAATATTTAGTACTTTAAATGAAGCTTTCTATTGCAATGTGAAATATTGAGGTAAAATAGTTGCTTAATTTATCTGTGAATTATCGTTGAATTAGTTTCGAACGATGTCGAGTATATCGTTGGAGAATGTTGAATATTTCCAGGCAAAACTCGAGTGCAAAGGGTTAATTTGCGGAAATTGTTTCTTTACGTTGGTGAGTAATTCCATCGATATTTCATCGGGAGATAATGAATATTCAAATGAAGTGTGGACAAAGTGTTTCTGCAAACGGAGACACGTTGTTAGATGAAAATTATTGCTCCGGCGAGGGCACAGCCGAACGTTTTGTATCTCGTGACTCACCCAGTGCAATTAACGCTCGGCTATCGTTAAACAAACATAGACGAAACATACCGCTCCGTTACACACAGGCTACTCATCGAAACATTACGGTTTAACAAGGTCTATACAGATCGCTAATCGTTAAGCTATGTAAAATACCTTTATCGCTACGTCTACGGGGTGTAAGCAATCTCATTCGTAAAAACTCATTGATCCGGCAGAATACTTTCGTCGTCGTAGATTCCTCCGAAGCGATCTCCATCGACAACTCAAAGGACACCGTGACTCGCCGAGCCACGCCTCGGCAGAACGTGATCCGCGAGAAATGTTTATAAAAAACGCGATTTCGCACCGGATAGTCTCGTCTAACGTTCACGCCGCGAGAACGTTCCGATAAAAACGCCCATAAACCGAAGTATCAGGTTGTAACACATGAAGCATTCGATTTTCGTTGATCAGCATTGACACTGACATTTCTTGGTATATTTTCTATATAACTTTTGGGGGTGAAGTTTCGTTTGTTCGATCGAAAGTGCCGATTTTCCTCCGCGATAATGCTCGAACACACGTGTCGAATAACGGTGCAAAAGTTGAAGTTGAATTACGAAACTTCATATGTTCGCGTGTTTGTTTAACACTAGAACTAACCAGTCAAAATGATTGGTTTCGATATTTTTGTTTGGCAATTATTGATATCTTCGAAGCATTGAATATTCGAAATAATTTTGAAAATGAATAGTTTCATTTCAGTACTATAATGAGTGCCTGAAGAAGCTGAAAATAATATATTGTTACAATTTTTATAGGAATTGCGTATTAAATGCTCGGTAGTTCTAGTGTTGAAAGTTCAAATCGCTTCCTCAAAGAAGAAACCTTAAAAAATCGAGCAAACGTTGAAGACGTTGAAGAATTTACCAATACTAGAACGCCGGATTTTTATGAAAATGGAAATGTAAACTAGAATCTTGTCGAACAAATGTGTAGAATCCGATGATTGTTATTTTGATGAAGAATATAGGTTACTAATGAATTTGTGTTAATTCCAAGTTAACGAAATCGGACAATTCATACGTTACAACCTGATATACATGCGTATCAAATGGTAAAGGTTGTTCGCGAGGTCGAAACGAAAAATTGCGGGTCGCACATGTAAGTAGAAGGTCGATCGGTGTAAAAACCGGCCGATTCCGCCGGTGGTACAAAATTAACGGTTGTGATTCGTCGCATCTTAAACCCATCAGTCGCATAGAATATCACAGGAACGTTAGTAGGTGCCGCTGATTCATTGCATACAAGGTGTCCCGGTTGATTCGATCGTGTAACGGGTTCCCGTCACTATCGACGTTTCTATTGAGTATCTTTTTTCATCGTGGAACTTCGAATGATCTGGATCTTTTTCGGTACCAGCGACGTAACGGAGAAAGCATTTCAAGCAGTAAGATCAAACGAGACACCCAGTACATTAGATAGAATACATTTGCTCGTACACGTATTAACTCTCTTGCGTCCGGTCAAAAAAGGTCATCTATTTCCTTAATTAACACTAGACCTACCGTACCAGTCGAAATGACTGGTTTCGATTTTTTTGTTTGGCAATTATTGATATCTTCGAAGCATTGAATATTCGAAATGATTTTGAAAATAGTTCCACTTGAGTACTATAATGAATGTCTGAAAAAACTGAAAATAATCTATTGTTACAATTTTTATAGGAATTGCATATTAATCGTATTAAATGCTCGGTAAGTCTAGTGTTAAAGACAAGGTTCGACTTGATATAATTGACATCCAAATACTCGAAGGGAACTTCGAGTTGCTTCCTTCAGAAAACTATTCATACTGACAGTCGTAATATTTCAGAAATGTTTTTAAAGTCAACGTTTGAGTCGTACAGAATGTTTCGATTTCTGTCAATTTTCATGGAATAATATTCTTCATAATTAATAAAGGATTCACTCGTTTCTTCGTTTCTAAGTCAGCAGTCCCTTCTTTCTATGTATAATCATTACGTATAATATGTATAATCATTTCAGAAGCCAAAACATGAATTTCCTCAATGTTTCTTTTTGGACCGCATTCGCTTCCGCGACTCATTTAAAGTTGACTTCGTGTTAATCACTTCCTTATCAGATAACGTATAGCTGAACAATTCTATCAGAATACAACTTGCACCAAGCGTGATTGTTCATTTAATCCCAGTTCGAACGGAAGAAAGTCGATGCCGATTTCTGACCTGACTCGAGACTATCTAAGCAAACGGGGAACAATTTTCCGAACGAGTTTCTACGGATGGAAAAATACGAACGTCGGGTACAGAACTATGGAGAAGAGACATAAGCATATCGAATGCCCTTGACGATTAATCTTATCCAATACCGTTTGAAAATTCGTTACGCGTATAAAAAATCGTACAAATGTTTCCGCGACAGGTGTCCCGGACATCCAAGCAGAATAGACCGTGTCTCGCGCGATTCGTCGGCCGGCCATTTAGCTCTCAGTCTTCTATTATGCTTGGCGAAACCCTTTCCCGTTTTCCAATAAGTTTGTGCCGCTGCGATCGACATCGAGTACAATAGAAGAACGATCGGCTCGAATCGCTTTTCATCGAACGATGACCGTTAGGTATGCCCAGCCGGAAAATAGCGATTTCCTTCCGTAAACAAATTTATTTCAGCTCCGTACCTTAGAATTATTTGTCAGATGCAGCACAATCGTATTCGCAATATCATTAGATTCATCACTATGGCAATAGCGCAATGTACAAATGTCCTACGCTAGTTGATCCGAGTACTATCAGCGTAAAGATGATGCGCGTAGCATGAATGGCATCTTTGTTCGCCAGAGATGGACAAAATCGTTGTGATATAGATTGAAATTCATTAATGGACGAGGCTCGAACGAACTGCGATTCTACTCTGACTTCGAAAGTCACGCGAATTATTCGTCTCGAACGAATCCCCGGCGGTTCCGTTTGAACGACTAATGTTCGACGGGAAATTTTGGCCATCTCTGTTGACCGAGTATGTTATACATTGTTAATCGCCGCTAATTGGGCGCAAGAGTATTACGTCCTATCTGGATCGAT